GAGGCGCCTGGCGCCCGCGGCGCAGGTGGGGCCGCGATGGCTGCGGCCACGGCCCGCGCCCCCAGGGCGGCAGCAGTATCCTGCGCCGCCAGCGTCAGCTCCAGCTCGTCCGCCAGGGCCTCTGAGCGTCGCCGCCAGAAGTACGCCTCGCGCGCAGTCTCGCGCAGCAGCGCCTCGGCCGACCAGCGGGCGTGGAGCCGTCCCGCCTGACGCCGCCGTCGGCGGGCGGCGCTGGGGCCAAGCTCTCGTGCATCGGCAGCCACGCCGCGGCGGGCCGCCTCCCGTGCGCGCGCCCCATCAGCCAGGGCGCGCATAGTCTCAGCGCGAGAAAGTCCCCAAACTCTCGAGTCCAAACTACGATGATGATGCTGCTGATGATGATAATGACGATTTTGATGTTGTTGATGCTGATGCTGATGATGATGATGCTGATCTTGTTGTTGTTGCTGATGATGATGATGCTGATGCTGCTGATGATGATGATGCTGCTGATGCTGATGATGAAGATGACGATGATGATGCTGATGATGATGCTGATGATGATAAGATGATGATGATGCTGATGATGATATGCTGATGATGATGATGCTGATGATGATGACGATGATGATGATGATGCTGCTGATGATGATGGTGGTGGTGATGGTGGTGGTGATGATGATGGTGGTGGTGGTGATGATGGTGCTGCTGATGATGATGATTATGATGATGCTGATGATGCTGATAATGATGAGGATGGTGATGATGATACTGATGATGATGCTGATGCTGATGTTGATGATGCTGATGATGATGCTGATGCTGCTGCTGCTGATGCTGATGATGAGGATTGTGATGATGACGATGATGATGATGATTATGATGATGATGACGACGATGATGATGATGCTGATGCTGATGCTGCTGCTGCTGCTGATGATGATGATGATGATGATGATGATGATGATGATGATGATGCAGATGATGGTGGTGGTGGTGGTGATGCTGATGATGCTGATGATGATGAGGAGGAGGACGAGGAGGATGAAGATGACGAGCGTCACAGGTCTTCACTACTTTAGGTGCTTGCACGGAAATCATTCGGGCCGTCTTGGGGCTGTCTTTGAAAGCTGATGTGTACTCCTCTCCTTTGTTCTTTGTCAACGTGTTTAGTAACTCGGTACGGATATACAAGGGAACGGGCAGTGGGGAGCGCGATGCTGATCGCGCGATTGTCCTGGAAGGGAGCTGCTTTTCGGTTGCGGGCCAGCCCGCAGTCCTGCGCCTCACATGCGCACACCAGAAGTCCAGCGACACTCTGTCGCTGCAAAGGCTTGAGCCAAGACGGTTTCGGTAGAACTGTTTTGGGAGCACGTGAAACATATATAATGAGCCTCTGGGTTTTAGACTGCAAATGGAGAGTAGGAAGCACGATACGCCGTGAAACGCGGGCTTACGTAAAGGGGGGCTCCTGCGGAGCCTACGTGTACATATTAGCCTCACACTCGGCCACTAGAGGCCATCTGTCGTAAGTAGGCTCTAGTCAGACAGGCTCTGGGCTGTGAATTGCATGCCCAAGAGTTTAAGGTCGATGTTTCGACATCGAGTCCTGCGGCTGACTCCTGAATTGGCAAAGAGCACAGAGCGCGGGAACGATCTCACCGTGCTCAATAGGGCCATGTCTCCGGCAGGGTACTGCTGCTCGTAGGGATTGTCGCGGGCGAAGTAGACTAGGGCCTCCAGGATTGCATCTCCGTCATCGTCGGATAGAGGCTTGCCATGATTGAGCGTGTCAATACCTTCGGTCTTGCGTTTCCTGGCACTGCGATGGAGAGGATCATCCACTAAGCTTGACTGTTGTCCTGATCTGAAGAACTCCAGCAAGACCTTGGCAGCACGATTCTTGGTCAGGCCGTCGGCTAGCATCGCTGTGTACCCAACCTATCTGGAGGGCCGTCTGCTCCTTCTGCTGTCGGATGCCAGGACACTCGATACGCGTCCGTTTGTCGCGTAGTCCAAGACCAGTCGACTCGCTCTTCTCGAACGCGTCGTATCCCGACTTCCCGTTTGTGACTAGGCTGCCAGGGCAGGCTGAGATGGCGTCGTTCACGTGCTGCTTCGAGGTGTAGTCCGCTGGGCCGCACTCCAGCTCGTTTATGAACAGTCGCACATAACTGATCTCGTCTAAGGTCTCTGTCATCATCTGGACCTCCACACTTGTGCTGCTTCTGGCCACGCGAGGCAACTTACAGGATCTCCATGATATAGGTGCCACTGCCTCCGTCGAACCGCTGAGGAAGAACAGCGGGGCCAGCCTGTGGTCTCTCCGCCTTGGGACTCGCCAGTAACTATGGCTGCCCAGGCCGCGTCGCCCCAGCCAACCACGGCGATCTGGTCGATAGCTGGGATGAGCATGATCACGTCGGCAGTGTCGTTCATGTTGCGGATGAGCTTGTTGATCTTCTGGATAGTTGAGACCGTGGCCGTCGGATTCTCGGCTTGGAGTAGTGATACTTCTGCGCTGAGCCACGGGGCCGACTGCTGTGCCCGCCATCCTACTGTCCCAAGTCGGCCTCGTAGGTCTGATCGCTCCTTGTCCGAAACTCCCAGGTTTTCGGCCACGTCGTATCTTGATGGGCTCCACGTTCAGGCTGTAGTTGTCCTGGGCAAGGCTGCAGGTGAAATCGTCATTCTGTCTGATACTGATGCCGCAGTGGACGAAGGCTCGGCTTTCCAGGCGTCCACTCGAAAGTCTTCTGGATGTCGGTACGCTTCTTGAGGAAGGCCGAGCTCGTGTGGTCACGATCATCATATCGTCGACGTGTAGGATCACCATGCCGACCAGCTTGACGCCGTCGCGGATGACCCAGACACAGGGCTCGCACTGTACGACTTTCAGCTCGAGCTTCTTGAACGTGTCCTTGAAGTGAAGCCACCATTTGCAAGGAGCATGTGCGACTTTCAAGGGGGCCGGGCAAAGGCGAGAGGTAGCGAGCGTTTGTCCGCGGCCGTTTGTTCTCAAGCGGCCGGCCGCCAAGATATGACTGCGCCTCATCGCGAGGCACGCTGTTGCCATCGAGACCGAAAACATCTTCGCTTGACATGGCTCGTCGCTCCCGCGACTCACTCCTACTCTTGGGACTGTCGTTACTACGGTACAACAGAGTTGGATATGGGCTTCGCCTCAGGCGAGGCATCTGGTTGGGCCTCCCAACCCCTTTCAATCAAATTCTTTACGCTTCGCGTATCCCCACCAGCCCATCTCACAACAGCAACTCTTGCGAAGCATGCCGACAGTCGTGTTTTTCAGGCGTGTGTCCGCTTGCCCCCGCATATCTCCCCTGTTCCTCCTTCCTCCCGGAGGAGTAGCAGTGTTAGGAGTAGTAGTAGTAGTAGTAGTCATAGTAGTAGTAGTAGCAGTTATAGTTGTAGTATATGTAGGGGTAGCATTAGTAGTTCGAGGTGTAGTAGTAGTAGCTCTAGATATAGTAGAAGCAGGAATCGTCGTAGTACCAGTAATAGAACCAGTAGTAGTACTCGTACAAGTAGTAGTCGTAGTAGCAGTAGTAGTAGGAGTAGTGGTAATAGTAGTACGAGAAGCAGTACGAGGAATAGCACTAGCAGTAGCAGTAGCAGTAGCAGTAGCGGTAGCCGTCGTCGTAGAAGTAGTAGTGGTAGTACTAGTAGTAGCAATAGTAGCGGTAGTAGCAGTAGTAGTAGTAGTAGTAGTAGTAGTAGTAGTAGTAGTAGTAGTAGTAGTAGTAGTAGTAGTAGTAGTAGTAGTAGTAGTAGTAGTAGTAGTAGTACCAGTAGGATTAGTGGTGGTGGTGGTAGTAGTAGTAGTAGTAGTAGTAGTAGTCGTAGTAGTAGTAGTAGTAGTAGTAGTAGTAGTAGTAGTAGCAGTAGTGGAGTCGTAGTCGTAGTAGTAATAGTAGTCGTAGGACTAGAAGTAGTAGTGGATGTCTTTTGGACGGAGGCCTCTGAGGGCGTCTTCGGCGCCTCGTGGGGCCTCTTGGAGACATCTTGGGGGCATCTTGGGGCCTTCCTGGGGACCTCTTGGGGTCATCTTGGGGCCTCTTCGTGCTTTCTGGGCGCTTCTTGGGGCCATCTTGGAGGGAAGGGATCAAAGAAAAGGGGAGCTTAAATGAGCGCTGCCCCCCCCAGAAGGGCAAAATGAGCCGCAAACCTTCGGAGATTCAATGATTTTGCGTTGAAGAAAGAGAGGATCTTTCATGAGCGCAGCTCCCCTGAGAAGTGCCAAATGGGGCAAAAACCGTAGTACAATCAATGATTTGTGCTTCACGGAAGAGGAAGTAGTAGTAGTAGTAGTAGTAGTAGTAGTAGTAGTAGTAGTAGTAGTAGTAGTAGTCGTAGTAGTAGTACTGGTAGTAGTAGTGGCCGTAGCACCATGCGTAGAAGTAGTAACAGTAGAGGTAGAAGTAGTAGTAGTAGTCGTAGTAGTAGCAGTTCAAGCAGCAGTAGTAGTGATGATAGTCGTAGTAGTTATAGTGGTAGTTGTCGTGATCGTAGCAGGAATAGGACGAGTAGTAATAGTAATAGTCGTAGTCGAAGTAGTGAGAGCAGCACTGGTAGTAGGCCCAGTAGTAAGAGCAGCAGTGGTAGCAGTAGCAGTAGTCCCAGTAGTATGAGTAGCAGTGGCAGTAGTAGCAGTGGTAGTGGCAGTACTAGTAGTAGTAGCAGTAGTAGTAGGTGTAGGAATAGTAAGAGTAGTAGTAGTAGTAGTAGTAGTAGTAGTAGTAGTAGTAGTAGTAGTAGTAGTAGTGGTAGTAGTAGTAGTAGTAGTAGTAGTAGTAGTAGTAATAGTAGTAGTGGTAGTAGTAGTAGTAGTAGTAGTAGTAGTCGTAGTAGTAGTAGTAGTAGTAGTAGTAGTAGGACTCGAACTAGTAGTAGTCGTCAACGTAAACAAGTTGTAGTAGTAGGAGATGATGTAGTGATACGAGTATGAGTAGTAATAGTAGTAGCATGAGTCGTCGTAGGAGGAGAAGTAGTAGCAGATGGTTTTTGGGAGCCTCGTGGGGCCTCTTGGGGACCTCAAGGGGGCATCTTTGGGGCCTCTTGGAGGCCTCTTGGGGGCCTCCTGGGGGCCTCTGGGGGCCATGGCAGTATGACTGGTAGTAGTAGTCGAAGTAGTTGTAGTAGTCGTAGGAGTAGAAGTAGTAGTAGATGTCTTTTGGGAGCCTCTCGGAGGCCTCTTGGGGCGTCTTCGGCCCGTCTGGGGGCCTCTGGGGGACCTCTTGGGGCCATCGTGGGGGCCTCTTGGAGGCCTCTTGGGGGGCTCCTGGGGACCTCTTGGGGCCACCTTGGCGCCTCTTGGTGCCTCCTGGGCGCTTCTTGGGGCCATCTTGGAGGGAATGGATCGAAGAAGAGGGGAGGTGTAATGAGCGCTGCTCCCTCGGAAAGGGCAAAATGAGGCCAAAACCTTTTTGTAAAATCAATAATTTTGCCTGCAAGGAAGAGGAGAGGCTTAATGAGCGCTGCCCCCTCAGAAGGGCCACATGGGGCCAAAACCGTAGTAAAATCAATGATTTTGGCTTCACAGAAAAGGGGAGGGTTTTTTCTCCGCCCCCCCGTCGGGGCCAGAATCCTCGTGAGGGGTGTCGTTTTTTAGCCCTCCCAGGAGTCGAAATTGACCCCCCTGACGACCCGCGGCCCCCCCTCTCCAGGCCCAGGGGGAGGGGGTAGGGGGAGGGGTAAACCCCTCCCCGAAGGGGAAGAAGAGGGTTGAGAACAGAGCGGGCTCTCTAAACCACTCACGCCCAAAGGGCTGGTGGGACTTGGTAGCGGAGCTGTCCTGCGGAGGACAGCTCTCGTTCTACTCCTTACCATCCATGGCAGTATCTGGTGAAGTACTAACATGGTGGAGCATCAGGGTGCAGTGGCTCCGCGCGGAGGAATGTACCTACACATATATATATATATATATATATACACACGCACAACCACAAAGACACTTGCAGTGCTACCTCTGCTCGCGCAGAGGTCCCCTACATGAGTCCTACCTTTCTGCGCTACTACACTCCTGAGTTCACCCTCCTACTGCGAATGGAGATGTCGTCGAAGATACGATGCATGGCAACATGCGATGCGATATGGTGCCGCCTCCACTTCCACGCAGGCTAACGACGACGTCACATCATAGACCACAGCCACAAACAGCCGACCACGACCTACGAGGCCATTGGTTCGGTATTACTATCTTCGGCTTCCTATGGATCGCTATCGGATGTGCTGTTGGACATATGCAGCGTGGTGGAGACGACATAAAAGAACTGCCGGCCCCCACTGGGACCCTGCCGGTAACGCACCTTTCCGCGAGCTTGTTCGCGAGGTACACGCCTGGATCAACGTGACCACAGGCGCCGTGACCCTATCCCAGTAGGCTGCGGCACTACAGCGTGGTCTGGGAGGGCTCGCAAGGACCATGGCCATGAGAGTTCCCACTGCAGTCATTAACGTCGGTGTTAGTTTTGGTGGTCGCCACGACGATGGCGTCATTTATGTCATGTTCCTCATCAGCACGAAGTTTGAACATCTGGAGGAGGAACGCCAACTTAACTTGGGAACGGCTCTCATCAACTTTCGCGTCCATGCGGGAGAGCGGATCGACCAGACGTTAGCCCGCTTTGAGATAGCACGCTTTGAGGCCGAGACCGCAGGCTTCGACATCCCCAACTTCCAGATCCTAACAGTTCTTTCTACTGTTCAGATCCCTGGGTGTTGGTACATCGCGTGCGCAGCAATTACTACAGTCACCAAGCCACCACATGCCAGGGACCCAGCAGCAGTTTGGATTCTCTATTAGAGCGCATGAGGTCTTCTGTCCACATGGCTGAGCGAACCCCTGGACACACTGGTAGCATATTTAGTCACGGTCACCGCGCCGATGTCTTCCATGCCGACACTCATGCAGGGCAACCTGCTAAAAACGTCTGGAATGACGATCCACAACCAACTGAGGCCACCACCTTGCTGAGCCACCAGGGTGGCCAATCTACGGGGTCGCAAGACTCCTGGGTTCGTTCTCAGGGGCCGTCGGCAACGGCGGTCCCTGCCCAAGCCGCTGCCCTTGTAGGCTCGGCGGGGCAACCCGCTGAGTCCGAATTTGACTCTGGCACCGACGCCGACATCTCATCGGATGTGGCGAATGGTAACCTGGACTACTCCGACATGCCTATGTACCTCATTGAGGAGCAGCAGGCGCAGTGGTTATTCCTAGGATATCAGAAGCACAGACGCCGATGGAGACGCTTTATGAAGAAACCAGTTTGTAAGGTATGACGCGCGGTCCGTCGGGCGTTGAGGTCAAAGGACAAGGGTGGAGATGGGGGTCAACGACGGAGATTACATGGCAGAGGTATGCTGGCATTCCTGGCACCCCTTACGGGACCACACTATGAAGAAGTGTTCCTGGGGTCAGGTAGAGGCCGTAGGCGCGCCTCAGGAAAAAAGGGTGAGGGGCGCCGCGGGGAAACCCGAAAGATGCCGACGGGAAAACCATGG